TATATATACTGAACGCTGGGAACCCTATAAAACTCAAGTCCTTTTCATCGGAAGTACAATTTATTTTATACAATTTATACATAGACATATATATACATGTATATACATAAACTTTATCTAAACACGGGAAAAAACCATCAGTATATCAAAACGATTGCTATTTACAAATTTGTAAGTATAAAAATAAATGCAATGAATGTTTATTTCAAAAGCTGAAAATTGGCGCCAAATTGAGACAAAACTAAAATCACATCCGCCAGGATGCCATACAGTTTTCAATTTGAATTTTTAGTGTAAACCACAGGTGTAAACACCTGGTTCGGTGCTTCAAAGCTAGGTTAGTGTTAACCCTGGGTTAAAATTAAACCCGATGTTATTAGAAATTAACAATATACTCGTAACTCGCAACTCGCAACTCGCAACTCGCAGCTCGCAACTCGCAACTCGCAACTCGCAGCTCGCAACTCGCAACTCGCAACTCGCAGCTCGCACTATAGATAATCTCATTCAGTTCTCTATATATCGTCCGTGATATTACAAGGTACTACATTACAAATGCATCTCACAGATCACATGCATATTGCTAGTATGACCTCAAACCCACATTAGATAAAAGTATTCGAACCTGATCTGACTAAACTCGAACCTAGGACAGTTAGGTAACATTTATAAACTGGCTGATTTAATTGCGTAGGTGGCCTTAGCGTAGGTAGTAGACAGGCCTAGACATGGTGTATTTTACTACGCATTGCGCCTACTTGTGACTGAGGAAATACTTCTCCTTCCAACCTTCAACGCACCGAGTGCAGTTGAATTTAATTTGACAAAATAATGTTTCTTTCAGTGTTTTTAGTTTACGGTTTGTCGGTTTATCTTGGGCCGGATTGAACTGAGACACAGGTATTAAAAGTAGGTCATATTCTTAAAATAAGTCACTGATTTAACTGCGTAGAACCCTGGTAGAACGTAGTCGCTGCAAAATCATGTGAAATGCCTTTCCTCTCACGATACATTATCAGTTGCTATATGCATGCAAGGTAAGCCCTGGGAGCGAAACAATGTGCGGGGTCGTAGCAGGGTTCGTACGGGTCCTGGAAAACCTGGAAAGTCATGGAATTTCAATATTTCAAAATCCAGGTCTGGAAATCCTGGAAAATCAATTTTAGTCATGGAAAGTCATGGAAAATTGAAATTTTACACAACATTAACAAAGTATTTCACTTATTTCGATTTACAAGTCGTAACAATAATATGAATTGTTGTTATATATCGGATTTTTGCAAGAGCGAAGTGAATTTTGTTCTTCTATTATATCAGTTATCGTTAAAATATTAACGAATTTCAGAAACTCCAGACTTCCATGAGGTCATGGATTTTGAAAAAAATGGTCATGGGAAGTCGTGGAATTTTAAAAGGGAGAAGGTGTACGAACCCTGTCGTAGTTACTAAGAGCTGTAGATTTGATCATGAGTAGGGATTCGTTTATTACTGAAATCAGTAGAGTATCTTTTCCGGAAGTTGAAAGTCTTGAAGACAGTCTGAAGCCAGTAGAAACGTTCATGTTTTATGGCATCACGGTGAAGGAATGCAGCGTGGAAAGTGAAGTTAGTGAGCTGTGAACACGCCACAAGTTTGTATCAGGACAGCCTAATAAGAGTGGTTGGAAGCGACACAAGCGAAAATGAGTTTAATTCACTTATTCACCAATAGCGACGCCATCTTGAATCATGATGCATTATGGGTTATCCAGGGTAAAAATCCGAATTCAAAAGCCTTTAATGTCGTATTGAGACACAATACGATAATTTTTTTTCATAAACACTTTCTTGAGGACAATGAGGCAGTGTAAATCAATTTTATGCGCACTTTGTTGAAATTATTTCCCTTTTTAGGCCTAACAAAGATTTAAACTATAGATTTTATCCTGATTTTTTTTATTTTTCCCAGCTTTTGTGTGTTTTCCTAGTTCTTCTAAAAATTGTCTGTTATTTTCAACTATAAAAACGTGTGTTTTCGCCTACATATTTGATTTACAGCCCTTCAAAAACGCTCAATTACCCTGGATCACTCATAATGAGCAGACGAGGCAACTAGTCGAGAAGTTGATAGGTTTATGAACGACCCAAACCATCCCTGTCGCAGTGTTTTGCCAAAATTAATTAACAATCGGTACTATTTAAGGAACATTGACCGGAATCGCAATATATCATTCTTCTCAGGAACTGAAAGGCATAAACATTCTTTTTCAGGAAGAGCTTGTAAATATGTATAAATAAGTTTAACTTATTGGAAGAACTTATTAGTTTAAAGAACTTATTAGTTTTAACTTCTTAGTTAGTTTTCTAAGTTATCTTACAACAATTTGTAATATAAAGACATACCCACAGCATATATACTTTCTTAAACAAGTAATTGTAAGTCCATTGTACTTTTTTATCTTAAGATGGATGAATAAAGCTATTATTATTATTATTAATGCATTGCGTTAAACGCGAAATTCAAGATGGCGTCGCTATTGGTGAATAGGTGAATTCTGAAGGTATTTTTATGCTAAATAAATAAATGAAATAACATACAAGTTCCACGCTGCATTCCTTCATTGTGACGTCATAAAACATGAACTTTCTACTGGCCTCTGACTGTCTTTTCAATTTCCGGAAAAGACACTCTACTGATTTTGGTAATATTTGGATACGCCATCTTCTTATGGCTCTTTTCCACTCATCGCAAAATGAGTGATTTGATCTAATTAAAATAAACTGTCAAGCATTGTGATTGGATGAACCTGGATGAAAGCATTCCATCACAGAGTAGATACATATACAGAGCTGGCCGTTGTAAACACTGCGGAAACTTACGTTTTTATGTACCCACTTTTTTCAGGCGACCGGATCAACTGCGCGTGCTCGGCAAGTCCCGCGAGCAGTTAAAGCGAGTCGCCATCCAATGAGATGCGTGCATCTAGTAACTTGCCGAGCATGCGCACAAAAAAGTGTGTACACTAGTTATAACTCTGTTTATTATATAGTGGAGGGTGAGATACTGAAAAATACAGAGCGAGATAGTTTCTATCTTCACTAGTGAAGATATCGATCACGTGACTTTTTCCAATATTTCCAATTTGCTTTTGAGCGTGAAATTTCACAATTTTTTGCTTCGGACTATATAATAAACAGAACATTGCACGGTGGCGCGAAGATATGACTTTTATCTTCGTGTGGTGAAAACAATATTTTACTCACTCGCTCGCTGCGCGCGTTCGAAGATAAAAGTCATATCTTCGCGCCACCGTGCAATATCCTCTATATAGAGATTTTGAGCACTGATAAAACTGACAATCTCACATGTGAGATCATTTATGATATCATGTGTCTTGAGATATCATGTTCAACACTCGAAATAAATCTGGTGTTTCCGCGCACCATGTATTATTCTCTATTTATTATATGGCAAGCATCACTTCCTGTGAAATGGCGAACTGTGATTGGCTGAGAAGCACTTTTAGCGGTCCATTGTTTTCCCGCATGCATTTTAAAACAAACAGCAAACTAATTGAAAATTTGAAAATTATAATTTAATTTGTTATTAATAAGATATATCTGCATGTGAATGTTTTTTAGTGGAAAAGAAGGAATTAATACATTGGTATTTTTTGTTTTCTTCGAGCAATTTGCTTTTGAGCGTGAAATTTCAATTTTTTGCTTGGGACTATATAATAAACAGAACATTACACGGTGGCTTGAAGATATCACTTTTATCTTCTCGTGTTAAAAACAATATTTTACTCACTCGCTGCGCTCGTTCGTAAAATATTGTTTTCACCACTCGAAGATAAAAGTCACATATCTTCGCGCCGCCGTGTAATATCCTCTATATATGTATCTACTCTGTCACTCCATAGAAAAGAGGCTTATTCTTACACAGTAAGACACATTAAATATTAAGTAAAACATAATCCAAAAACAATAACACCATTAAGCATTTTCTTATTTTCCTCTTATTACATGCCAGTCCAATCCAGTACAATAAATCCATGTATAATGAACTGAAGTTAATACAATCCATGTCCTAAAGTCATCTCTCAAGGGTGATATTCTATGTGTTTTTAAATAATTTACTACAGTAAATACAAACGCTAGTTAGTTTATATCTTAAATACATTGACATTTTTTAGTTGTTAGAGCCTTTAGGCTGGTGAGATTTAATATCTGATATATACTATTGAATTTCCAGTTAATAAAGATAATTTTGATCTTCAAGCACATCATGTACACAAATTACTTTAAGCTATACAAAAGCACAAAATGTAAGTTTATGTTAATAAAATACAGAGGGCAGAAAAAGTAACAGTCTGGGGTGGGTTTTCGGAGAGGGTGGGGCACCATCTAGCCTTGCAGAGTCAGGACTAATTTCCCTATTTTTGGATCCAGGGATCTTTAGATCTAAGCATGATCAGCACCCCTCCCCCCTCAATACACCCAAGACCAAGGGGGATCCAGCCCAATGCATGCAGGTAGACCGTCTGCCATACCGGAATGCTAGCCCAACGCTCCACCTATTGAGCGTTAATTGGACTCCTGTACGTTTTGGAAGCGTAAACTTGGATATTTAAACTGAGTACTGGTGACAAGTTGTCCCAAGTTTATAGTGTTGGTTTACGCTTCACGTTTGAGAGCGGCAAAACGGCAAGCCGCAGAATCTGCACATCCGCAGAATCTGCGCAGAATCTGCGCAGAATCTGCGCAGAATCTGCGCAGAATCTGCTCGATTTTACGGTGTTTTCTAATATTTTGGTCTTAATGCGAAAAGAATAATTTTACATTTGTTCCTTTACATTCGAATCCAAACCTCGATTGGTAGAGCGTTATTCAGTATTCTGGAGATTTGGGGATCTTCATCTGGGGTTTAGGTTGGTTCCAGTATTTACTTGTACTACCACAACAACTTATAACAAGAAGTCATATCTCACTATTTGGGCGTTCCATCAGTACGACTATGTAAATCACTTACCACATGCAGCTTTCAGTGCTTCATCTAAATCATTGATTAAATCTTCGCTGTTTTCAAGACCAATGGAAAGACGTATCTTGAAATAGAAATAAAGTACACTTTGAAAACCCCCGGGCCCTGGCTAAAATGTACTTGGGCTAGCTTAATATACAACAATTATGGTTGACAATTTTGCTGGTTGAACGAAATAACGAAGTAAAATAAAGTTTGTAAATTTAAAAAAATCTTTGCCTGGGATTGATTGCACGGATACATATTAGGGGTAAATAGAAGGCGAACTTACAGTAAAAAGCCACTTCCTTTTTTTATATTACCTTGCGGCAGGGTATAAAAAAAGGCGCGGGGTTAAAAGGGAGCATCGTGGACATATATGAAGTTAATAATAGGGAATCACAAAAAATCATCAAAAGCTAACAGTTAACTGTTCGTGGTGATATAGCCCTGGCACGAGTTTTAATATTTTGACCGTATTTTAGTTAAACAACGTCCGGTTCATCTTATTATTATATTTAGACTTTATTAGAGACAACAACTATTATATATATATATATATATATATATATATATATATATATATATATATATATATATATATATATATATATATATATATATATATATATATA